GCGCAAATGTATGACGTCACCATTTCAACCATCAACGAACGCATGGAACTAAAAGAAAGCTTAATATAAAGGAAAAACTAAAGAGGTGACAGAATTACCTACTACTATGACGGAATATACCGCGTTTACCCTATTCTATTTAATTTCATATTTTTAAGCTCAATTATGGTGCCAAGACCATGAAACTGAAATTTATTCTATCCAATTCTGCCTTTAAGTTTTAAGTAATAGCAATCATATCTAGCAGTTGCACCCATTTCCCCCACCCTCCTCCCTCCTGCAGTCAAAGTCTCAACCAAAATGTTTTATTCTAGTTACAATAGATAGCCTACAACAAGAGCTTTCTAATGGTACTAAAAACTTTGAAAGTGGCTCACAGGAAACCTACAAATGATAGTTTTTCCAAAAAATGTGACAGAAGTTGGTCCATTTTTTGGGGTGAAATTAAAAAAAGGAAAAAATTCATATCTTTTTCATTATTCGACCTACTCCACTCATACTTATATGATATTTTTCTAAATTTTCTTCTCTTTTCAGTGGTATAATTTTCATTACGATCAAAGTAAAAATTTTTTTTGTGCACATACCTACACTCCTACAGTGTTGAGTGTACCGTACGGCTACGCCATAGTATATTTGAAAGCGTAACTCACCTTGCCCTCGGAAGCTCAAAATATGCTCAGGTGGGAAATTAGTGGTCAAATACTGACAGTGCAATACCCATTGGAAATGGATAATGCAATCATTTTTATACCCCAACATTTTGACAGTAACAAAAATTAAATCGGCCTCAGCTTAGCGCTTGAGGTACGGCGACCACTACCGCGGATCAAGTTCAGGCATCCGAAAAGAAATGTTTACTGGATTACTTGAACGAAAGAATGGTGAGAAAAATCTTTTCAATTTCAAGTTACACCTGAAATTTTTCTCAAACCTAGAAAAATTCTATGCTTTAGAAGAGGCAACTATTCTCACATAATCTCACGAATGTTAGTTCAGCTGTTCCTAAAATATAATTGTATAAATAACTATAAATTCTGCTTGAAAATTCTCCCAAACATAGAAATTAATTCACTTCTATGAGTCAAAAAGTTTGTTATAATTTCAAAATTGTTAATTCAGCCGCTTTTCTAAATAGGTAACTTTAATAAGAAAGAGAACCTCTTTTTAACGAACCTAACAATTTATTTACGATAAAGCAGCAAAAAGTTTGTATAATTTCACGAGTGTCAATTCAGACGTTTCTGAAATAGAATTAGTACTAATAACTTCTCAAAATCAACTAAAAATTTCTCCCAAACCTAGAAATTTATTTCTTTTTAATGCCAGAAATGTTGTTCAAATCAAGCGGGTGTCTCTTCGGCCGTGCTTGAAATTGAATTAGTATTAAAAGCTTTTTAAATTCAACTTCAAAATTTTTTCAAACCTAAAAATTTATTCATTTTGAAGAGGCAAACGTCCGTTACAATGTCACGAGTGTCACTTCAGCCGTTTTTTAAATAGGTTCAGAAATAGTAACTACGGTAGTTGAATTCAAATAGAAATTTGAAACTTGAAATTCAAAAAGTTTAAATTTTATAATATTAAATATTTAAAAATACTGCTCAAATCTAACGAATGCTTCTTCAGCTTTTTCTGAAATGGTATAAGTTGTAATAATTTCTTTACGTACAGTAATGTAGGTACCTCCCGGATTGCCATCCAAAGCAAGTCATTCTATGAGCAGAATGTGGACGAAGATGCATATTCAGCATGATATTGTGTAACATTTCTACTTCGCATAAACCGTTGAAGTTTTCGCTTCAAAATACGACTGTAGAAATGGTCCCAAAGGAGCTGTCTGTGTCTGACAATAATGAAGCAATATAGTCATAACGGCATTTCGGTATATTTAAAGCAAGGCTTTTGCTGCAGACGTGGACTGGACATTTCATGAGCCCAGGCAAGTCTGGCTCGACAAAGGTCCGAGCCTTAATATTCAAATAAATTTAACCACCCTGTCAGAGGCCTGAAATTCTAGGGACACCTTACCCCGTAACGTTAATTATCTTGCCTCAAAATGACTGAGACGATGGGGAGGTGCTGACAACGACGGGTCTTCTGAGGCCGACAAAGTCTTTAGCCGAGTTCACTGAGCGTCTAATTCTTCCCGAATTGCCTTCGACATTAAATGCAAGACATAAAACAATTTCGAGCAAAAGGCATTGTTTCGACGAAAAATACGGCTGAGTGAATATCAGAAAAATTATTAAACTTGACTTAAACGTCGTTTGATTGTCATGACCAAAAAAATATTGTTATTTGCGTTTGTCGTGAACACGTTGACCATGGAAGCGTGAATGTTAGAGGATGCAGCTGGCTGGGATAATGTGTCTGTCGCCCTCATAACGACCGCACCTCAATTGTCTTTATTATCTCGCTAGGATGGCTCAAGGCTTTCATCCCTGAGTCCTCCTATAGTTCCGGCATCCTAACACTCAGTACTCAGGATATTTCACGTATGCTGCAATGAACAGCATTGGAGCGGTTCCAACGCTCATAGATGATCCTTTGACAACGAAGAAGAGCTCGAAATTAGGATTTAAAAAATTATGTAGATTTTCAAACGAATCTCTTTTAAAAATTAAACTATTCGATTAATCAAGTTTCATGGAAAAGGCTTGACGAGGCAAACTTGGATTGTATTATAGTTTCGAGTTATCTGTCAAACAGATTAACTTAGAGTCAGAGACATATTGTGCATTGAACTGGTGCGTTCAAAAGCGCATGATCGATATCAGACTAACACTGACGATGTATCTTTCTAGCCTTGCCTTGAACTTAGTCTCCTATTTCTCGAAAAATTTTCATTGTTCATTTTCTGCTTCATAGAAAAGTCATTAAGGATCGAATAATTCAGGATAACCTCGAGCCATGAAGCTTATTGAATGTTAGTTTATTCTTTGTCATCCTGACTGAACAATGCAACAGCTGCTCGCATGAAACGGCAATCAGTGGCAAATAACTCATCACAGCAAAATTTACTTTCAATTAGAACGAAAAACGAGCAAACTGAGTTTAATTTATAAAATTTCAAATGATGTCAGGCTGATTATTATAGATAGGCTTACGGTACATATTTCATTATTATCTCCGCATGTCAATCAAGTCTCAATGCCCTTATGGTTTTGAAGTCACTTATTCATCTATTTTCTTATGGTGTTTTAATGCTATTTACGCAGCAAATTAGAAGAGCTGTTAAGCTGAAATGTGCAATCTGGCAACGCAATTAAGTATAAATTCATGGAATGGGTTGTATTAGCAAGACGCAGAAAGTCAAAATTAAATAAAGATTGCCAGTTTAGTGGAAAAATGTAATGTTCTTAAATATCTTATGAAGTCTAGAGGCCTGAAAACTTGCTTAATAAACTGTTTTTTAATTGAATTATATCCGTCCTGAAGGTATGGCCTTCCAAGCTTGGGAGTCCAAAAAGTGTTATTTACAAACAATAATAACGTTTTTTTATATTAAAATAATCCTTTTACTTTATTGTTCTGAGCACACTTTATTTAACACGGAAGATGTGGTACTAGAAATTCTGTACTCACCGCTGATATTCCCATTACACCTGAGAAAAATAAATGTTGGGCTGGCATAAGAAGTGAAAATTCACCAAAACGTGCTTACCAATCTAGCAAATTCTTATCCCATATCTTAACTAATCCCTGCATCATACGAATATTCCGCTTTTATTAACATTATTTTCATAAAATCAATCGCACGTGTTTGGAAATAGCGATTTATTATGAGGCTCTATATTTGATTTGCACTAAATGAGCAAAAGGCCGCTGTTTTTTTTCGAGCTTTAAAATCCATTTTATTTTTTATTTCTTGGGGTTAGGCGATCAAGCGTTTCGAAGCGATTGAATTGGTTTCCTGTCTTCAGGAACTGTTCACGATTTTCAAATTAAATGTGTGGCTGTAACTTCGTAGAATTATTCACGGCTAGCTCGGGCACAATTGGATGCAAAATGTCAAGTTCAGTTATATCAGGATTCACATCATAAAAACATTACTTAACGTTACTATAGATCTCATTCATATTTACACACGGTGACTACAATAGTAATAAGTTTGTGCAACATCCACACATCCATAAATGTTCGGGTCTGAGCTCACAAAAATTTTCTTAATGTTTGAACGCTCGACAACAATTTTGCAGGCGACGTGCGATGAAGTTGATTAAATCCTGGCGAGCTTGTCAAATTTCGACAAACATCAAAAAGTTTGCAGAACGCAGACTGAGCACAAACCATTGCGTGGAACTTTGAGCCAAATCGTTTGACCAGGAAATTGATGGCAAACTTAACACAAATTTAACTTTTTGACAGCGCTGTTCTTTCAATTCTTAAAACTAAATCCATATTCTTAGTTTTACTGTGTAAGTAAATTAATTTCGACCTTATTTCATTTTGACATCTAATCTTAACTTACAGTGTCGTTATAATGTTCCTCTGAAAATGTTGGGCTCGTGAATGATTACCTGGACAGCGACTCAATTGATGCTCCTATCTCTTGGTACATTAGGACACTTGAAGAAAGAAGATTGAAAAATAATAAATTGCAGTAGAGGAATAAAGTCCTGAAATTTTCGAATGAAAGCTGCAGCAGCAGCAATGCCGAGGTGTAAGTCGCTTCCGTTGCTACGACATCGAGAGAATTGAGAAGGTTGCGCTGAACAAGTTGTCGAATTTTCCGAATTCGTCTTAAGCAATTATAAACTTTTGCCATACAGGATCTATTTTCCAATTGGGAATACAAGTAAACGAAATCACACAGAAAATGAAAAGAGGGACGTAATGTACAAAATTAATTCTATTGAATGCATTACCGCCGCAAAAGGAAATTATCATTTATTGAGCTACGTCCGTGCTCCGTATAGTAAAAGACCTACAGTATTTCACCTTATGGTTAGACCGAAAATACGAAGCTTTCCAATTCGAATTGATAAGCTTGGCGTGAAAATCTTGTAGAAACCTCGTATAAATAAATATTGGCATAAGACGATACAGTTCCTTGCAACAACCTTATATCGGAGTCCGAGTATTTTGAGAGCTCCGCAGTGCCCTGTTGCACTCGTACAGGCTTTCCTCAAACCACTTTAACGGCCACGATTTTACTGGTGGGATCTGAATACATCTTAACGCTGCCAGCATGTAATCGAACCCAACAAGATATTGCAAATTGCAGTCTTGTTAAAGGCACGCCACCTGCGCCAGCTGTGATGAATGAGAGGCTGCAAAGCTGCCGCTGGTTTGGGCGTGCGGAGTGTCCAAGTCTACACTCAGCTAAATGAGTGAGATTGGTACAAAAGCGATGCAAATTTTGCGCTGGTTTGGGTCATTTTGACTTAGTTTGGCCCGGCAAAAGGGCTTATCAGTGCTACCTACGATCTCTGCTCGTACTGTGGGTAAAAACGCGTGTCACGATATGATCAAACATACCCATTTTTTCTGATTGTACGACCTCAAAACAAGCTTTCTGGGACATCCTTATGCTTTTCAACGTGATATTCTGTTAAAACATTAAACAATCGAACTATACAAAACAATCGAACAATTTGCGAATGAATTGAACATAAAATAAGTTTGTTATTTTAGGAACATACATATTTTAAACCTAGTATATGACTGATCTATCTTGGAGTTTTTACAATAAATGTAAAATTAAATGTTGGAGAAGGGAGAGGTGGGGTGAGGGAATTCCCCATTTTACGTAACTATGCAAGGCACAGAAGACTTTTACATGATTCACCAATGGTGTCTTGAAAGT